TAGCCATGCTGTTGAATGGCTGGCTGATGTGTTCGTTGCGGAAAGCGAACCGACATCAGAACAGGAAGCTGTCCGTATGCTTACCTTGCTGAAGGAGAAGTATGATCCCATTCGATCTAACTACTGGGATTATCGCATTCGGACGATTACCAGTGCAGCCGTTCCTGCTACAGCATGAAGACATTATCATTATTGTATATTGCGAGCGAGAAGTCCAAGGAGAATAATCTGTTAGAGTGATTTATGACAGTTATTCCAGATTATCAGAAAGAAAAGTTTGTCAATAACAGCTAATATTATATCATATATCAAACAAACACGCTGTGTCATACATCATTAACCTGTATAGTGAGACCCATGCAACCCAAGTTTTCACAAGAACAAACAAAACCAAGAGATACACCACAACCCTTAGAAAAGATAGCCATGAAATCTAAACAATCACTCTCAAGCCCACCCCTCAGCCAACATCTTCCTCCACTCTGCCGCCATATCAATGGTAACATTACTGCCACCGCAAACAATGATAACCACCCGACTGTCTTCATTCAAGTCCGGCACCAACTCCTTCAACTTAGACTGCAAACCCCCAGCAGAGGCCGACAGCGACGGCGAAGAAACCGGACCATCATCCTCATTCTCCCCAGCAGACAACCGATCATCCCCATAGCCTTCATCCTTACTCACATACCCAGCATCCATGCCCCTCTTCCTCTTCTGACCCGCAGCCACCTTCGAAGATGAAGAAGCACAACTAGCTCCCCCAACCGCAGCCTCTACACAAACACCACAAGCCAACTCAACCAACAACCTCTCATCATCCACAAGCCTCAACACGCCCCTGGCGGCCTCCGCATCCGAAAACACCGCACTATGCACCTTCACGCCCGGCGGCGGCTGCACCGCATACTGAAACGTCCTCTCAGAGACCTTAATAGCCCCCAACGACGTAGCCTGCGACGTAATCTTCGGCAACGAGACCAACTCATTACTCTCCAGCGCCGTAGCCAGAGAATCCGTGCCCTTAGTCTCAACAGCCACAAGATGAACAGGCTTCGAAGCACCATCATCAGCAGCAGCAGCAGCAGCAGAAGAAGACATCTTAGCCTTAGCCCTATGCCTCTCAATCCCCATAACCAATCCATTCAATAACCCCCCACCGCCAACACTACAAATAATAGCATCAACCGGCAACGCACGACCTGCATGCACTTCCTCCTCTTCCTCCCCGACAGGCGGCGGGATCTGCTCCACCAATTCATCAACGATAGTGCTGTTCCCTTGCCAGATGGGCTCGTTGTCGAATGGATGCAGGGCGATCTTCACAACGTCATCAACACCTTCGCTCTCTTCACCATCGGTGTTCTTGGTCTTCATCACAACATCCTTCATGTACTGCCCCGCCTCCGAGAATGTCTCTCCGTACTGAATCACATTCGCTGCTCCTGCATTCCGCAGCTTCTGCACCATCAGCGGCTTCGTCGATACAGGTACCACTACCGTGCACGGGTACCCTAGGCTCCGGGCCGCGCAGACGGCAGCTAGGCCGGCGTTGCCGCCGGAGGAAGCGTAGAAGTGCACGGGACGGTGGTGGTTCTCGGGCTTGAGGAGGTGTGAGAGGATTTGGTTGCCCATGGCGCGGGACTTGAAGGAGCCGCTGGGTTGGATGTTTTCGAGTTTCAGGAAGATTCTACATCCTGCGGCGCGGGAGAGGGTTGTGGATTCAACGAGAGGGGTCGGGTTCCAGGGGGTTTTGTAGGTTGGAGGCGTGGTGGGAGGGAGGATGCTGCCCATTGTGATGGTCTGTTGGTTTCTGGGTTCCCTTCGGGATGTGGTGGTGGTGGTGGTGGTGGTGGTGGTGTTCAATTGGTGGAGATGATGATGACGATGATTGTTAAGATGATGATAGGGATGTTATAAGGAAGGGTAGATAGTAGTATAGTTAAGATATGATATGATCTGTCAGTTGTTGGGATGAGAGGAGGTTGTTTTCAATAAATAGTAGAGAGGTAAGAGGAGAGGAGACAAGATTAGGTATAAGATGATAAATGTATACTACAATCGAAAAGAGAAAGAAAACCCCTAGAATATGATACAGACCTCATATACTCCCCCCATGATATAGCGCTGAAACCCATAGTTCGTGATATACAACACGGACGCTTTCCGATATAGTCCGCCCCAGTTTGCCGCGGGAAACCTACACACAAGAGTTTCCCGCCCCGAGTCTATCTATCAGGAATTCGACCAACCCTTCGCCCAGTCGGCACCCTTTTCCCGTTGATAAACTCGCGCATATTCTGCTCCAGTTATCGCCATACCATGACATAACACAAACCTTCTCTCCACCCCTGCATGCGTGTGAATGACGGTCTGGGACCCAGAGCCGTCCATAACGCAGTCCAATTCAAGCAGCAAACGGCAAAGCCAAACCCGCTCGATTTCCACAGTCTCCTCCACCAGGCGGAGACCCGTGCTTAATTGTGCGTGTTCTGGCTGACCGAACGTTCCAATCTAGTGTCCATGATTGGATCCCAGCCCATTCCTGTTATCAAATGGAAAGGACAGCCACATTAACTTTCCACGATAAGAGGGGGAAATAGAATACTCTTCTTCGCATCCACTCCGTAGTCTGCGTCGGAGCCATACGTCGCCGCCGCATAGTTCCTTTTGGCCGGGTCCGTTTTGTCTACATGGAACATGTCCAGAAGCTCGTTGGCCTTGGTGGGCATGACAGGCTGCAGGAGGATCCCGGCCATTCGCAGGGATTCAGCAACATTGAAAATCGATCGCTGGCGGTCGTTCGGACTCTTCCATGGCTCTGCGTGATGGAAGTATTTGTTGGTCTGGGTGGACCGGGTTAGAGCAAGTCTGGAAATCATCACCGATCATAGGGTGGGTCTATCTTTATCTCTTACCTGATCGATTAGGGTAGTGATTTCTTGCAGGGCAGCACGGGGATTCAGATTCTCCATTTGCTCTGCGACTCTCTTGGGCACATCTTTGAGCATTGTTTCGTACGCCTCATCGGCCGGAGTCGCTGGTGGAAGTCGGCCGCACGTGCCGTTCTCGATGTAAGTCCGAAGATTACCCTTGGCACAGCCAATTGCCCGATGCGCAAGGTTTCCAAGCCCCTTCTGCAGTAGCTTCTGATAGTCGCGGATGATGTAAGCATTATCGTAGTCGGCGTCACCCACCAATGCACCTTGGTGGATAAGGAAGAAACGCATGGAATCCACTCCGAAGCGGTTGATGGCAAAGAAGGGGTTCACCACATTACCCGTAGACTTCGACATCTTCTCACGGTTCATAGTCCAGTGTCCATGAACGAGTACATTGCGGGGAAGAGGGAGGTCGAGAGCCATGAGGAATGCAGGCCAGTATACGCAGTGAAAGCTGTTGCTCGGTTAGTCAAGGCCTCGCGTATAAGGCAAGCTTGAAGGCAAATACGTACCGAACAATGTCCTTACCGACGACATGTACATCCGCAGGCCAACCAAGGCGGCTTCCTTGACCGGGTGCAAACGGGTAGCCTGCCTTGGTCAAGTAGTTGACAAGCGCATCTAGCCAGACATAGACGGTCTGTGTGTTGTCGCCGGGAACCGGAATACCCCAGGTCAGCCGCTCCGCAGGTCTAGAGATTGACAAATCTTGAAGGCCCTCGGAAACAGACTTGACGACATTGGTTGTATACATCGTCGGGGTAATAAATCCAGTTTTGTATAGATCGAGCAAACGCTCCTGGAAAGCCGACAGACGGAAATGGTAGTTGGTTTCCGACGACCACTCCACCTCCTTTCCTGTCTCAATGGAGACCTGTCTGGGTGAGCTTCGATCATTTTTGGCACGTGGTTTGATATGCAGCTTACCATCTTCGTATGTCCAGTCTCAGGGTCCAGCGACTTTTGTACTTGCGTCTGAGGGTAGAATGTCTCATCGCTAACCGAGTACCAGCCTTCATGCTTCGCGGTGTAGACATATCCCCGGTGCTCCAACACTTCCTATACACATGTCAACCTCAAGCTATGCGCGTGGACGCATCTCAAAACCACATACCCAAAAATACTGAACAGCTTCCTTGTGCGCAGGTTCGGTCGTCCGTATGAAGTAGTTGTAGTCCATATTCGCGGCATTTGCTAAAGCCTAAACTTAGAGGTTAGAGCCTACCTCAGATCAAAACCTGACAACGTAGTGAATGTTGCCTACCTCAAACGTCTTGTAGTTCATGTCGCAGAACGCCTGCGTATCCATCTCTGCAGCCAACGCGGCCTGCTGGATCTGTACAGAATTAGCACAATACTGTGCTAAACAGTAATAACTGGCCCATACCTTCATGCCATGTTCGTCCGTTCCGGTCAGCAATTGTGCATCAGCGTCTCCGATGAGTGTCCGCCATCTCTTGATGACATCGGCAAGGACCATAGTATACAGATGACCGACATGTGGAGCTACATAGCCCAAGACATTAGCAGTGAACGACAAAGCACAGTAAATTATCCGGAGAGGTCATACCGGCGTTGACATAGAAAATGGGAGTTGTGACATAGTACGGCTTCTTAGAAGCGCTTTCCGAGGCCGCCGTTGCGAATTGACGCGGACGGATCGTTGTCACTGGGCGGGCAGTTGTGCGGGGAACACATCTCCAAGATGGGCGACTGTAGTCCAGAAATTGGCCGGCCCAAGAAGCGGCACGAAAACCTGCCCTCGAGATAGCCATTGGCGTGGGACTGCAGAAGGGAACAACGATGGTTTATTCCAGGCGGCGTTTTCGTCGGAGCTCGATCATCATCTCCGGGTGGTCCAAGCTTCCGTGCCTTTTTTCTGCCGTCCGATGCCTGCTTCTCTTCTCCGCGATCGCGCATTCTTTACATAGCATCTACCTCGTTCCCTCTATTCAACCACCATTTTATAACTCGTTCTTGGACAACTCAGGGGCTTTCAGGAGTCTGAGGCTCGCGATATTAGGGTCTATATACAGTCTCTTGGCTTGGTTACCGAATTTGCTGTTGGAATCCATAAAAAACAGTCTCGAATCACAATGGCTCCTCCTTCAGAAGACACATTGACAAAGGTTTCTACGGATGGTATGTCGAGTTACAAGAGGCATCTTGCCTGAAATTTCTAACTTAGATTAATCTGCAGCGGCAACCGACTTTGTCCAGTCCTTCTACCCTGCCCTCGAGAACAACCGTTCCACGATAGCCTCGTTCTACAGCCAGCCTACGGCCATGATCCTTTTCAACGGAAACGCTGTCGCCGATGGAGCCGCTGTCCAAGAAATTTTCGTCAATCAAATGTCCCCGACGCATTATGAGGTGCAGTCTGTCGATTGCCAGATTATCAACAAGGCGTATCCGACACCTACATCCACTGGAGTGAAGCTCCCCACTGAAACGACTGTCAAGGACATGTCTATCTTGGTGGTCGTTAGCGGCTATGTGCGCTTTGGAGAGTCCAGAGATCTGCCGCAACGAGGCTTCAGCGAGACCTTTGTGCTGGTGCCGAATCCATCCGCCGACGGGCCCAAGGGAAAGCGCAAGCGAGAATGGCTTATCCAAACCCAGAACTTCCGACTCGTCGTATGAAGGATCAACACCAAAGTTTATTTGATGGAAGAGGACGCCTTCTACTATGTCTTTGACGAAAATTACTAGAATTGCTATTGCGGTGTGACGACATGATAAACACATTATGCGCTATGATCCAACCACGCGATTACACATTTTGAGCCGCAGAAGGAAAACGGAAAGAAATCCAAGGAAATACCCCACGACACGCCAAGCGAAGACTCCCGAAACAAAGCGACTGCTATCTCATCACTGGGCCGCAGATCTTCGCGGTACACGCATATTTGCTTTAATGCGCTCGAGTAACTCGTCACGCGATGCGCTTTCGCTGGGCAAAAGGCCCCTCTTGGAGTGACAGTTAGAAAACATTGCTCTTTTTGGCGACATTGACTGTTTTGTTTACGATGGAAGAAGAAAACATACAACTCGAAGCCATGTCCGCATTTCATCTGCAGTCCAGTTTTCCGGATCTTTTAGACGTCAGTTTGGTATACCTACAACCACAGAAGAATTCGATCCCGTGCCTCCAGTTGGGTCAGCTTCAGCCGGGAACATATCGCCACCCCAGATGGCCCAAGCGGCCGCTGCAGTCACCATGCCGGCAAACCCTGACAAATTTAGATCGGACTTTCCGTCAACAATATTCAGCTCAGAAGGATATACCTAGAAATAGGTTCTGAGACCATATTAGCTTACGGACGCCGATATCATGTCTGGGGTTGGATGTATAGTACCTTGGAGTTTAATGCGCGATCCAGAGGCGTCGGCATTTTGTTCTGGACTAGAGTTCGCCTGCTGTGTATACACGAGAAAAGTATTGATAGTAGTCACAAAGGCGAAAGGAGGCGATGATATCTGTCAAAAAGAACAACAAGCTTGTTGCCAGATATCCCAGTAGATATAAGACGGAGGGTGGCTAAAACACTATAGATAGATGTCGATCCCCCGTAATCCGTAGGCAGCCGCCTTATCGGTGCACCGCCACATATATAATTGCGGGATATCCCGCCACGACGTGGCACTGGAACTAAGGGCTTCCGGGGGGCAACCCTACAGCCCACAGAAGCTAGCTGACTACTCCCCCCCGGCCAGCACCGCCCGCCGACGAGCTTCGAGACCCGCGATTGTCATCCAAACCTTCCGTCATCCACGACTACTCAAACCAAAGTCACAAACCCCACTAGCCACCATGCCTCAGGAAATCTCCGACATCAAGCAGTTCATCGAGGTCTGCCGCCGCAAGGATGCGTCCTGTACGTTTACCCGACCTTTAGCCGCTTAGTTATCATGAGGTGGAAAGCTCCGCGGAGCTAGCTCTTTGAGGAGGGGGGAAGCTCGAGACGGGTACCCGACCATCATCGAAAGGGCACATGGGAATGGATCATTGGGATGGATGAATGATATGAAGTCGAGGCTAACGCGTGATGGTCTTGTCTGTTGAACAGCTGCTCGCATCAAGCGCAACCCCAAGGACCAGCAGATCAAGTTCAAGGTCCGCTGCTCCCGCTTCGTCTACACCCTTGTCCTGAAGGACTCCGACAAGGCCGACAAGCTCAAGCAGAGCCTGCCCCCTGGTGCGTTTGCTCCCGTCACCTGATCGACTATTTCTTTGGATGGTGTTATTGGAATAAGATACATGTCGTCGGATTCGATTGTTTCCTACGACTCGAGATGGATGTCTGATGTGGACCTCGGATATTGCATGACATCATATGGATCAAGTACTAACATCAATTGTTTTCTCCTACAGCTCTCAAGGTTGTCGACGTCTCCAAGGGAGACAAGAAGAAGGCTCTGTAAATACCTTCATCAAAACATTGAGATTGGAACTCGGCGAGGAGGTCGTCGGCGCATGGAATATGGTCGGAGCATGAATACAAATGTCGATTACGATTAGGAAATTGGCACGGGCAAGGATTGCTTCTGTGGGCCGACACGGAGGGGTGATTGATCTCTGAACCAGATTGGTTGTCTCTTCGCGTCTGGTTACCGGTGGACTGTGATGGATGTCTTCACGGTTCACTGAAGCCGGATGACCTACATGACTGGAACTTTTCTGCTAAGGGTTCTTGCTTTGTCGGAGCACCTTTGCATCCTATACAACGTAATGGAGAAAAACAGTTGATAATTTCATGATACCTCGACTTTCGCCCGATAATGTGATATGAATGCTTTGTGCTCTGGTTAGGCTGTGTTGTCTGGACGGGCATAACAAACCTTGGTGGAATGCTGTCCACTCTTTAGGTTGTAGTTCGTAGGTAGTATTGGGCGGATTGTATGCGTTGCTGACGTTGCTATGCATGCTGTAAGCTATCGTGTAACATACGGACCATGCTGTGAGGCCCTCACCGATTGCTATGACAGCATACATACATGCAACCATACCAAGGGCATGGAGATTTAGTTTAAGATGTATGTTCAAACGGATCTACAACCCAGTCAGACGGCCCCTGCCCTCTGATGTCAAAGTTGGATAGTCTGATCTAAGAACTATATGCAGTATTCTATCAAACAGAAGCAACCTATCTATAACAACATCCAAAACAGTACCACTCACTAGTAGTCAATAATCACTCAACTCTCTCATAACCCACCTCAACATACCCCGACACCCCAGCCCTCTCCAAGCTCACATCAACCATATCCCGACCCAGCGCCTCCCTCTCCCTCCTCAACTCAAACTCCCCAAAATAATTCGGCTCCTCGGTAACCTTCTTGAACATAGCACCCTCAAACAGCGCCAAACTCCGCTCATTAGCCTGACCAATCTTCACACTGAGACAAGCAAATTTAGGCACTGCTTCAACTTTCTTCATTGCCGTCGCGGCAGTCTCATCCCTGCTGACAAACTCTTTCAAGATCTCCGCTTCATGGTCCACGATATACCGTAGGAAGGTGTTAAGCGCGGCTTTCCCAAAGCCCTTGCGCTGGCTATTCTTCTCGGCTATCATTAGTTCGATTTCCCCGATGATCTGGGGCTCCGCGTCGCCTTCTTCGCCGTCGTCGACACGGAGGAAAAGGTTGATGTCTCCGACCATTCGGTCTGGGGCATCGTCTGTGTCTTTAATGGTGGTGGGTGTTGAGGTTTCTCCTTGGAATGATGGTGATGGGAGACAGACAATGAATGTCAACTTGTCTGGGTCTTGGCGCCAGCTTTGTTGCATGGCGTATTCTTCCTCTATAGAGAGGGGTTCGGATGCGGTTGCTTCTTGGATTTCCTGATATGGCAGGTCAGTAATTGTAGGTACAATATTCGAATATTTACGGTTGGGGTTTGGCTGTCTAAGAGGATTACGTATTTACCTCATCTTTCATCCATTCGTGGTATCTTGGAACGTGCCATTTGGAGTATGGAACCAAAAGCACCGTGGACGTGGAAATGGCTATAGAGGGGATTTAATTAGCCTGCTTGTGTGGTGGCGCATGCAATTAATGCTCCGATATACCTGTCTTGGCGTTGAGGAGCATGTCGAAATACCTGGCCCACCAGTTGACCGTAGCCTGATGGGTGCGTTTAGGTGTACGTCAATATTTATTATTGAGGTAGCTGGTTCTCCAGATCCCGATACTTGGTAGTAGAGGATTGAATTGAAGAGTCGGGACTTTTCCGCGCGGATCTTGGCACCGCCCGCGTTTAGGCAAGAATCTCAGATAGCCCTGAATTCCGGTTTAGCCAGCATAACGGTGTTTGTTCAATCATAAGAAAAGGAAGAAATAACAAAGCAGTAGCTCATAAGACTTATATCTCATTAATATATGCTATTGGTATCAGCCGCTCATTGTTGCTCTTGTTGTCCAGCAAATGTACTAAACTTCACCACCTCCACCTCCAGGGTCTCGGTATCGACCAAAACCAATTCTCCGGTTTCCTTGAATTTGGGTATAGATAGAAGGCGCACACGAGGGCCAGATGTGTTATCGTCATCTGTGCCTGTCATCTCTGTGTCGGCTCCGTTCAGCTTCAGTGGGGCATCACCCTCAATCACAGCCGTCTTGAATTGTGGCTGGTTGCCGGCAAAGAAGATGTGTGGGCAAGTTTGTATAACGAATGGATCGTGCGTTTGAAATGGATAGGACCCTGTTCCCGGAAATCAGCATTTGCACCAGTAGGATCAAGGGGCCAAATAGGAGCTTACATAGAGTATCGGGCGCAGTGGGAACTCCACATCTCCAGCGCAGCATAGCCTCCATAACTCTCATCCTCGCCTCTATATCTCCAGCACCATCGGCCACATTTCCTTCCTCATCGGCGAAGTTCAGATACCGGAGGATGTCATCCACGTTCTGCCCACTGCTACCCCATAGGCGCCAGCCCTCCACGTCCCCTTCCCACGGGTTCGTTACACTGTCGAACCAACTTGGCTCTTGCTTGTTATCACCAGCAGGAGGCGGAGCACAGTATGCCCTAGCCTGCGGGAACATCGCACGGTGGATTCCCTGTTGAGGGAGAGAGAAATTTGCCGGGTCAGATTCGCCTGGCATTAGTGTAACGGGCATACTAGGCAGGATCTCCGCTAGGTAAGAATCAAGCCGTGTAATAGGCGATGCATTATAAGCAGAAGCATCATATCCGTACTTCTTCGGACCGGTCCTCTTCTTTGTAGAACTATCGGCGTTGACGTCCGTAGTCATGCTTGCTCCGACCGAATTTCCCGCAATAATCAACCTTGTGATTGCAGAAGCATCAGGTAGTGCTCCTTCAGAAGCACCACCGGTATAACCAAGCAAATAATCTGCCAGAAGTTCCAAAGCAAGAGTATCGCTCGAAGTTCCGGTAATCCCTAGACCACTCACAAATGCAATCTTACCCTTGCTGGCTCCCTTTGGTGCGTCCAGTGTATCGTTTCCCCATCTGCGGGGCTGTTGCGGTAAATCAGGCACTTTGGTATCTATAACCTCGAAGTCTCCGTTGGCGTTCTCAGTTCCCAGGACTGCAATGATAGCTCCTGTACATAGCTGCGTATTCCGGAGCATGCTTCCAGTCAGGCGCAGTCGGCCGGACTCATCTTCCAACATGATTTGTGTTAACTCCGGATGAGCAGGATCTTGGTAGGTCGGTCGCGGAGGTGGTGCTAACGTATAGTTCTATTGCCAGGATTAGAATGAGAGCCGTACGCAACATGGCAGTATAGTATATCACCTCTTTCGTAAGATCGTCCAAAATATTGGGCTTCAATGGCATGTCCATATATATCGTTCCTGCGACCCAGCAAAGTTCTCCCTGCCTCACGTCGAGGACTCTTTCCACGCGGCGCGCATTTTCTCCAGCGATCTGGTCACCGAACCAAGACATGTCAGCGAACCAATTTCCCATGTGCATATTATTAGATCTCCCATCCGAGATTTCGAAATGGGATGGATGCGATCGGTCTTACACTGAAACCTTCCCATGCTTCGACTGCAATCTCTTCAACCGCGGGCTTGAGTTTCGCCAGTCGCAAGAAGTACATGTCGCCATATTGCTGCTGGTAATGCCGATCCTGGCCGCTTCCCAGTCGAAATGTATCTAGAGAGTTATAATGCGAGGGTACACGAGTGATTGCGTCAAATTCTTCATTGCTAAAGGTGCGGCATTGACAGTTAGAGACCATTTTTGATAAACTCAACAATCGAGAAGATTAACATGCGGTAGAACGGACCTGGGAGGGCGCAGGAACTCGTCGCTGCTTGCCATTCTGGCCTTCGTTTATCTAATTACACTTGAATATTTATATTAAGTGTAAGCTCATATGAGCGACAGCGACAACGTAATTGAGTGGTGTTGTTTGATGCAGTTGGTGGTGCTGGGAGCTTTTGTCCTGTGCTTCTTCCGCCTACGCGATCACGCGTCTTTTGGCGTTGCGTAATTACAGTACCGCTTTGGGGTTCTCCACCGCTGGAAAGCAAGCAACTTGCCAAAGTCCTTCACAACTCACTGAGATCATATTTGTTATTACATATTATGGTTCAATGGTGCCTTATTATATTAATGTCAATTGTGGTCTAGTTTTATAGAACTACCCCATCATCCAATATCTTTGAACATGCAATGGCAGTTGTTCAGGCCGTTGTTCAGCAAGCTACAAATGTTCAACTGAACTGGGTTTCATACCATTATATTAAGAATGACTGCGAGTCTAACTGACTCCTTATACGGTGAGATTAGGGCATCAATAAATCGGTAGCTGTAATGAGAATCGACGGGAATTGCGACTTCAGTGAACCTTCTGTATCCTGATCTGCGCCTTCCGGTCTCCGCTATAGAAGAACACACTAATCGACCCTGCCTGGAGAACGTAACAGAGATAGGAATATGCAAACAGTCGCCTTCATCCGGATTATACAGAACTCACCTTCTATAAGCCAGGAAATAAGCAGGTCTTGGACGGTTTGCTTCGACACTACCGGCCTGTTGAGGATTTCTGTCTTGGCTGATAAGAAGGTCTTTGCACGAGACAGGAAGACTTACGTTTTGCTTTCATTATCGCGGACAATTCTTGCGCCAAGAATGGTATGCTAAACCTGAAACTCGATAGATGGATGGTCTGGTCCATTTTTCGCCAGCGCGCCATCCCTTCGTTAAAGCGCTCAAGCATTCCTTCCTTCATTCTACAGTATGGATTCCCGGAAGTTTACTCCGTGGCAGCAGTGTCCTTCAATCCGACTAAAGCCGAATGACTCAAAACATCATCGGGATACCGGAAGATGAAAATTGTCAGCGAGGGATGTGGCATTGTGTGTGGCATGCCGAATGGATGGGAATGCGCCCCATCCATGTTGACGCTTTGGTCCAGTGCAATATGTATGGGCTTGGTTTCCCTGTTTGGCAGCGTTTCTTTGCCCATACTGTTAAACCATATTCAAGACAGCTAACTGCAGATAATTCTCGTACTCGGATAGTGGCCTTTTGTCACAATGCGAGTCCTACTTCCTTTCGGCCACCTGCTGCGCAGATTTCTACTTGCCGGTTTGATAGCGAGCATCCTCACCTCAGCGTATCTCGACGCGTTTTTACGCGGCCTGCACTCGAACCTGTTCAGAAGGAGCCTTCCAGGATCTCTTGCAACAGCGCCTCAAGGCGCGGTAGGCTACTATCAGCCACCCCCAGGTCCTGCTGTCACCTATCCCTACCGGGTCTTAACAACTTCCGCACCATCAAATGAAGAAACGGCGGCAACGACAGTAACCGGTACGAGTATACCGACAGAAATCAAACAAGGATCATCGAAAGATGGAAGCAATGGCATAAACGAGTAAGCGGTTCATGTGGTGCACTTGGCAAAGAGTTGTGTAGCTGATAGATTCCTTGATAGGCCACGGAAGAACATTGCGATTATGTCGGGGACGGTGACTGGAACACAGGTGATCATGGAAGCAACACAAGCTGCGACAGCAAATAAGGATATGACCTTAACTTCAGTCAGCTTCTTGCTTTCAATTTTGCTGGGTATACTGCATCTGTGAACATACTTGCTGTGTCAGATTAGGGTCTTTGGTCTGCTTTATTCTGATTCCCAATAACGTCATTTGCTCATTGCAGGCATGTGGTTTATGTGTCTTTCATTAGCGATTTCTTGTAGTATTTATAGAGCTTTGAGCCCAAGTCCAAAATTCACAACATCTGTTAATAGTGTCTGTCAAATGAAGAGCGTAAACAAACCACGGCCACCAACACGTCTCTTAGTGGCTATAGCAGCAACTTACTTGTGCTAGCTCGAAAATATGCACACGACACAACCCCGCATAATTCAGGAACTCAGTCCTTATGATCACTGGGGTTAGCGCCAAGTTGAAGACAGGAAGATGCACAATGTGGCCCGAGTGGCCAGAGCGAGCAGAGGCCAATGCCTCGGTCCGGCCGGGTCTAACGCCTTGGAGCTCCGCTTCCCCGCATTTGAGCTCCTCAGGCACAAGCCAGTCTCCCTGCTTTCACCGCGGATCATATGCCCTGCACTAGGATACTTATGCTCGGGGAAGGAATCATCCAGCAATGGATTTGTCCATAATGCTACGATTTCAGGTTATAGAGGAAATTTTCTATCTGAAATCAACCCACTTTACAGTCCATTAGGTAGGCTTGTCCGTCTATCAGCCAAAGAGTATGTTGCTGACCGCATCCCATTGCTCAATTGCTAGACGGTCAATTTTCTATGCGATAGCTCCATCAAACTACCACTATACAGTCCCTTTTTCTCGCTCCGGAAACCATGTCTCTCCAGACCCCCCTTTGCTCATTGCTGAAGATTCAGCACCCAGTCCTGCTGGCAGGCATGGCTCGTGCATCCGGAGCACCTCTTGCCGCCGCAGTCTCCAACGCAGGCGGTCTCGGAACAGTTGGCGGGCTAGGCTATACCCCCGAGCAACTATCCGAAATCCTGACCGAACTCAAATCACTTCTCAAAGACCCTTCGCTACCATTTGGCGTTGATTTGGCCTTGCCGCAGGTCGGCGGAGGAGCACGGGCCACGAATCATGACTACACCCACGGACAGCTGGACCAGCTCATCGACGTGGTTATCTCGCACGGAGCCAAGCTGTTCGTCTGTGCAGTTGGTGTGCCACCGGAACACGTCATTAAGCGGCTCCATGACGCAGACATCCTGATCATGAACATGGTCGGGGCACCCAAGCACGCTGAAAAGGCGTTCAAGCTGGGTGTGGATATCGTTTGTGCGCAAGGAGGTGAGGGAGGTGGCCATACGGGCGATATTCCGTTTTCAGTGCTCGTACCGGCGGTGGTGGATGTGGCGAGGAAGTATAAGAGCCCGTTGACGGGACAGCCTGCGTTGGTTGTTGCTGCCGGTGGTGTCAATGATGGCCGGAGCTTGGCTGCGGCATTGATGCTGGGCGCCGCGGGGGTTTGGGTGGGAACTAGGTTTGTTGCTTCGGAGGAAAGTGGTGCGAGTCGCTTGCATAAGGAGGCTGTTGTTGGCGCGCAGTATGGAGAGACCAAACGGACGCTAGTCATCTCTGGGAGGCCGCTGCGCATGCTTCCTAATGAATATATCAAGGAGTGGGAGAAGCGCCCCGAAGACATTGCTAGATTGACGGCTCAAGGTATCGTTCCTATTGAACATGACTTCAAGAACGATAAAGATGTCGATGTGCCGTTTTTGATGGGCGATGTTTCGGCGATTATTCAGGAGATCAAACCTGCTGGTGTGATTGTCCGGGAGATGGTCCAGCAGGCTGTGGATATGCTGAAGAAGGGTGGATCCTATATTAAGGGTCCGCCGAGTAGACTTTGATTGGAGGCATCGGCTCTGCTTTATCTTTTCCATGGATGCTGGTATATGTGACATGATATTGGTATTGCAAATAATTTTCATGATAGCGTAATAAGTACGTTTAGATGTTAGTGATCTAGCATGTACAAGTACACGAAATGGAAAAGCGAACAAAACTTAGGACCACGACTTGCAAAACCTCCACAGCTGTGATGGTGCATGTTGCAATTCTAGGCGGACAGTAACCTAAATGAGCAGGGCAACCTATCTTTAAAGAGCCGAACCGCTACAAGATCTGCATACGGAGACAGGAGAGACCCCGAGCGACCAGCGCCACACTGCGCAATTGTCAGTGCACGCTCTCAGGAAGGCATATTTTCAACTCATCAAGGCCAACTACCACGCAGCTGAACAGAGAAGTAAAGAACACCCGAGACGATTGCGGCATTGCCAGCGCAAATGGCGAAGACTTCGCAATCGTTGTTGGTCACAAGCCCAAGGAAACATGAACAATGAAAACATGACATTGATGAAAATTGCATTAGTGGCATCCATTGATCATTGCCTTATTTCCGTTGGCTCGCGCTTCCAGCAGATTCGGGGGCGGAGGAGGTCCGAATACTGGCTTTTCGGGTTGCTGGGGAATATTGCGGTCTCCATTCATGTCGCCATCCGGACTGTCGAGCTCGTAGTCATCGTCACTGATTCCTTCATCATCTTCCTCATCCTCATAGTCCTCATCATATTCACTCTCCGTCCCCTCGTCATCTCCATCCAAATCCGCAGCAAGACCTTGCCCGCGACCCTGGGCTTGCATGCGACGACAGAGTGCTTCCAAATGATGGCTTTTCTTGCGCCACTTTTCCAACTCCTCATGATTCCTTGTGCGCTCCTCCGCCATCTCGAGTATGTTGCGGTTCGTTTGATCGTGCTTCCGTGTGAGGGTGTGGTTTTCCTTCTCTAGCCGTTTCGTCTTTTTGGACATCTCTTCCATTTCTTTGCGAAATGTAAGAAAAAGCTCGTTGCTGTTGTTCAGCGTATCCTCCACCTGCGATATTATTATTACCAGCGGTCAAAACGAGGCTGAGGCCGAGCAAGCCATCGACATCGGTCCATACCTGCTTGAACTTTTCCACGTAAATGTTTAATTGACTGCGTAGTTCGGCTTCGGTATGCGAGAAGGTAGAGACCTGGGAGCTCAGAGCACGACAACGAGCGGCTTCATTCTCGGCTGTACGGCGCTGCTCTTCGTACTTGGCGGTAAGGCATTGTATCTCGGCATCCTTGCTGCGAAGGAGTGCCTTGTAATGTAATTCGCGCATTTCAAACTTCTCGCCAATAGTTTTAATCTTTGCGCGCAAACTATGATAGAGAGTCAGAAATAACCGACTACATCAAGCTGACAGCCGCAACTCACGCTTCGTCTAGGTCAATGTCCGCTTTCTCACTGCGGGGATTTCCTTTGGCGGCCATGACGTCTTGAATATCATATAGCAGAGAATCGAGGCGTTCGTTGACAATAAGCCGCGCTTTCTTTTCAGTCTCCTCAAGCTTCTTGTTCTCATCCTATGAACCATCTCGTTTAGCCATCTCCCTACGTGATGTAGCGCGATAGTAGTGCTGTAGAGCTTGGACCAACCTACCTTGACCTTCTTATTTTCCTTGGTAAGCTCCCTACACAGCTTTTCTAATTTATCCTTCATAGTAACGGTTTTGTTCAACTCGGATTTACCCTTGTCCTGATCTTTCTGCAGTTGATCGGCCCGCTTCTTGCTTTTGGAGTAGTCGCGATCTAGCTTCTTCATATCGGCCAGTAGTTCGGTGTATTTCTTATGAACCGTCTCGAGCCGTGTCATCGGAGATTCGATATTGCTAAGGAGTTGGTTCAGGTCCCTCGTAGCCTTCTTGACTTCGCGCTCTATAGGCAAACGGTCATTAGCCCCCCGTTCATGAATCAACTACTACTCCAAGTATTCCAGCACTCATGAGAAAGACGCACCGATTTCGGCCTCCTGATCCTTTTCTCCAGCGGCATCTTGCTCCAACTGCGATATTTTGGCAGCCAAGAGCTTGGATGTCTCATTGGGGTCTGCGACCTTCTTCCCCTTGTTCTTTTTCGACATTGCTGCAGCAGACATTGCTCCGAGCTTTTAGAATGGGGATCGAGTCGAGTTATCGTAGAGCGATTGCGTTGGCGGTGGTCGCGTGGCTAATCCACGAAAACGAAAATTGCGAAGCCGGAACGGTTGGCTAGGACTGGCGGGAAATGGATTCGCTATTCACGCCACGGAGCGGTGGCAACGAGTCGACCAGGAGCGAGACCGATTCGAAGACGAAGCTGCGGATAGACAGGGGAGTGTTGTAATCAACAGTGACTCAGTGATTCGACTGTCCAGTGTAGCGGAGAACCTGGATGGCCTTTTCCCAGACTTGGAGAACTCGGTGGGTAATGGATCCCTCAGGCCATCTACTAGCCCGGTTCTGCCAAGCTGACCGAAATCACACGGCGTAAGTAGCCTGCAGGGTGTCTTGAGAGTCAAAAGACAGTTTGGCGACGGAGTCGACTAATGAACGCCGGACGGCTTGAGGATCTTGCCGGGGAGGATTGAATAGTCGTAAGAGGGGGGATGCGCACTTGACCTGCACTAGCCTCTTTTGAAAACTTCTCTTGGCGCCTTTCTAATTCACGGTCCGCCTTCCGAATAGCAGGCCCGATCTGTCGCTTTGCCTTCCTTTCTTTTTTTCTCCCTTCTCCATCCACTTTTGCATTCCATCCTCGAATGCTTCCACGGCACATCACTCGCTTTATCTATCTGATATCGTGCTCGGTGTGGCCAATTGGTTGCGTATCCTAGTCTTTTGCGCTTAACCCCGGTCCGCTCGGGACCGCCATTTCCGACCACCTTTGGTACCCTAATCCCCGGCAGCGGACTCGCTAAAGTACGTCACGCCGTGAGAGTCAAGCCGGTGACCGTCAGTCTTTTGCTGTTTCTGGGCTTGGCTACCATCTTCATAGTAACGCTATGTTGC